GGTCCAGATGAAATACCGAATTGGGTCCTAAAAGATTATGCGCCCCTGCTGTCTTCCCCTGTTACTTCAATCTTCACCGCCTCCCTTCAACAGGCGTCTGTTCCCGCGGTATGGAAAAAAGCCGACGTCATCCCTGTACCTAAAAATAAGGTGCTGAGGGACATTACTAAAGACTTGTGTCCCATCTCGCTTACTGCCACTTTGTCAAAAACGTGTGAACGTTTTGTCGCAGACTGGCTGATGGAGTTGATTGGTGAGAAGATCGATAAACGGCAATTTGGATCTCTAAAAAACTCTTCAACAACACATGCATTATTGAGCCTTCTCCATCACTTATTAAACGAAACTGATGTGCCGAAAAACGCTGCGAGAATTTTTTTATTAGACTTCTCCAAAGCTTTTGATCATATCGATCATAACATCCTCCTCAGTAAATTATCTGATATGGACGTTCCATCATTAATAACAAACTGGATAAGAAGTTTTCTTACTCAACGAAGCCAACGGGTCAGAATGCCCCATTGTGTGTCAGAATGGCAAATCCTCAACGGTGGAGTACCCCAGGGAACTGTTTTAGGCCCAATCCTCTTCCTAATCATGATAAACGACCTCCTCGCTGATTGGAAAGACCGATGGAAATACGTTGACGACACCACCACTACCGAAACCATTGGCCCAGATTGTAACAGCAACCTTCAAGAACTGGTTAATTACATCAATAATTGGACTACGAGTAATAATATGAAATTAAACATTGGAAAATGCAAAGAACTGGTTATTGATTTTGCAAAAAAGAAGCATTGCTTTCCCCCTTTAACAGTCGATAAAGTTAATATTGAACGAGAGAAATCTGCCCGTATCCTTGGCCTCACAGTCCAAGATAACATGAAGTGGAATGAACATATAAATAACATAGTTAAAAAAGCTAGCAAGAGGCTCTATATGCTAAGACTGCTAAAAAGGTCCAACGCGTGTATTGACACGTTAATTACTGTATATACTACCATTATTAGGCCTGTTTTAGAGTACGCATGCCAGGTCTGGCATTACAATATCCAACAATATTTATGTGACGATATTGAAAAAATACAAAAACGCGCGTTGAGAATAATCCTCCCATCGCAAAAGTACGACGAAGCGCTGATCACGACTAACATCACGTCACTGAGAGATCGACGAGAAAAATTATGCGAACATTTCTTTGAGAAGAATATTGACAATGAAAATCTCAAAGATCTTTTACCACAAACAGTTTTATCTGGATATGATCTAAGACCGATATGTAAATATCATAATTATGTTTGCAGAACCGAACGTTTTAAGAATTCGTTTTTACCTCAAAGTATATTAAAGATTAACAGTAAATAAGTTTTTAGAAATGTAAATAATCTTAAATATGTAATTATTATGTAATTTTAACTTATCCTCTTAATTTATGTAATACTGGTGTAATTTAACCTTTTTGGGTTACAAAGTCAGTAGTTATTAAATCAATTCAAAATTCAATTCAATCCTCCAGTATTTTGACGGTAGCAAAACAGTCACCATTCAAGTGGATGCGTCTATGCGTGGTTTAGGAGCCACATTGCTTCAAAGTAAAGGTCCTGTGGAGTATCGAAGTAAACTCTTCTCTGAGACAGAACGTCGCTATTCCAATATTGAACTTGATAGATGCTTAGTATTGTTTACGGTTCAGAGAAATTCCGCTACTATGCATACGGTCAGCATGTTACAGTTGAGACAGATCACAAACCTTTGGAGGCTATCTTCAAGAAACGCCTATCCAGTGCACCACCACGTATTGCCAGGATGATGCTACGTATCCAGAAATATGACGTAGAGATCAAGTACGTTCCAGGGAAAGAAATGCAATTGGCCGCCGACGCACTGTCACGGTTAAATCCATGAGATACAGACACAATCAAAGGACTTGACGTGTCTATTCATGAGCTACACATGCGCCTCAACACAAATCCGACCAACGTCCAGCGCGTCCAGACCGAAACTGCCAAGCATCCTATTCTCAATTCGCTTATAAATCATTTATCAGCCAGGGATGGCCCGATAAAAGATCGGTATGTCCATCACATCTTCACGGATACTGGAATTATCGCGATGAGCTCACGGTTGCTAACGGATTAATTCTCAAAGAAACCGGCATCATCATACCAAAGAATTTACAGCCGGAAGTACTTGGCTCTGACTTGTTTTTGCACATCTAAAGTCCATCTTTGAAGAGCATGGAATTCCAAGTAAATTTGTCACGCATGGAAACGACACTCAGTTTACTTCATCAGGCTTTACGGAATTTAGTAAGGCATATGCAGGGGCGTAGGAAGCATCCAAAATTTGGGGGGGGGGGGAGGTCCGCTCAAAACATTTTCCGGACGTATCATTATTTTCGCAAGCATACAAAAATGTTTCCGGACATATCATAATTTTTTCTGAAAATAACAAAATTTTTCCGGACATACCAAAATACTAAAATAAATGCAATCATAAATCAAAGGCTATTGAGGCAAACGGCGATCTCAACGACATTTTTCACGTAGTCAGAAGGGCACTTTGCCACCGAAAAAAGGGCACTTTTGAAAACTTGGGGGGTCTGCCAGTAGCTTAATAAAGGCCGATCCTAAGACATTTTGGTTAATACTTCATGTAAGGCAAATTATAATGGATCTGGGCAAGTATGGGCACGCCTAGAATCGCCTTCCCGGAATTCCACCTTCCCGAAATAGAATCGACAGCGCCACTTCCGGTTTCCCAGTTCCCTGCGCCGCCCATGCCTGCCGGACCCCTCCCCCGCCCTCGCCCATGCCTGCCCGCGCACACGCAGGTACGCAAGTGTACACTTGCGTGCTCCGACAATTTTGCCACAAATTCCCGCGGGTGTTGACCCGATGAATTCGGTCCTCCGCGGGCCCACCGCATCCGCCGCATCCCGCACGCTTGTTGGGGTTTTCGGTGGAGGGATTTTTTTTTGGTGGGGGAAAGTGGTTTAGAGGGAAGGGTTTGTGTATAATAAAAGGTATGGATAACGCCTTCGGAAAGTCTTTTGAGAAATATTGGGAAAATACGGACTTGTTTTTAGAGATTATAAAAAGGTCTGGTTACGGGAACATAAGCATTATTTATGTGGCGTACTTAGACTCTATCGGTTGGAATTTTGATGGACCGGCTCCGGGTCGGGAATTATTATACGGCATGGATTCCCCATTTGCAAAGACCCTTTCAGCTTACTACGAAGAGTTGCGTTCACCCCGGAAACCGAGGAAGAGGAGCAAGGACATGGAGCTTTTTGATATAGCGGAAAAGGAGTACTTGGATACATACATACATACATACATAAAAATTTATTTAAACACGTTAGCCCTAACATCTTTTGATGGTTTCCATAGGGGACGTGTAAGAATAAGACTAATACATATACATAATACAAACTATTTACATGATTATTTTGACAAATTAACAAACATAAATAAATAACAAACATACAAAACTATTTACATACTTATGGTTTTCGAAAATGTAGTTTCATTAATCTTTTGAAACAACTCAAAGAATTGGATTGTTTAGCAGTAATTGATAAGTTATTCCAAAGAGTTGCTCCACTATAACTGAAGGTCTTTTTCTTAAATTGTGATTTTGGGAATGGAAGTACCAGATCTGTTTGAGAATTTCTTAATTGGTATGTAATTGGACAATCACTTATTTTCAAAAAATTTTCTTTCAGGTTTGGAGCAGTTTCATTATTTAAGATTTTGTAAATAAAAATGGATTTCAAGTATTTTCGCCTATTGTCGAGAGTTTGCCACCCCAAAGTTGCAAGAACATCGGCCGACCTAATATCATAAGATGCTCCTGTTATTACTCTAGCAGCTTGGGATTGACATTTTTGTAGTTTTTCCTTTAGGACGATTCCACAGGTATCCCACAATTGACAGCAGTAGTCAAAAATAGGGTTGTATTAAGGCGTTGTAAACTGTTTGTAAGAATTCCTGAGGAACACAGGTTTTCATACGTTTAATTACTGCAATGCCTGCATTGACTTTCTTAATAATCATATCAATATGATGTTCCCAGTTCAATTTTTCGTCTAAAGTGACACCGAGGCATTTGTAGCAATTTAATCTTGGGACAGGAACATTATTAATTAATATTGGTATTCCTTGAGGTATATTCTTAATTTTATAAGGGATGCAATAAACATACATTTAGATTTCTTAGGATGAATTTGTAGCTTATTATTCTCCATCCATTGCGTAACAATATTTAGGTCATAATTTATGTTGTCAATAAGATCATTTACATTATGTGATGACGCGTAAATTTCCGTGTCATCAGCATAAAGACCCGGCGTGGTTTTTTGGAGACATTGTGGTAGGTCATTGATGTAGAGCAAAAATAACAACGGCCCCAGGATCGACCCCTGGGGGACCCCACATTTTAATTTTCCAACGGAGAATTGGAAATCTCCTTGCTTCGAAGGAACCTGTGGAATATCCCAACAAACACTTTTGTTCCGAGGGGCATAAGCATCAGCTTATTGATGTAGATGGGGAAAGGACGTGTCGTGAATGTGGACTAATACTTGGTAGGACCCGTTACGTTTCCGGATATGATTGTTGGGACACAGCAATTATGAGGAGTAAGCCAGCTACCGTCGAATCCAGGGTCTATGGTTTTATAAAAAGGAAGGGTGTGTCAGGGTACGAACTGTTTGGGAAAGTATCGCCTGGGGATAAAATTGTTAATATTTGTAACAAAGAGGAACCTAGGGGAAAGAGACTGCCTAATCTTAATATTATTAGTTATCAGGTATGTAAACGGTTTGGTGTGGAGGCTGACTGGTCTTTACTTAAGATTCCTAAGGGGAAGGTCCCTCACGATCGGTGTAAAAAAATATTTGAGACATTAGGTTGGGATTATGTTGAATAAATTTTAATGTTTATTAAGTCATTAAAATTGAAGTATTAGTCTTAGGGTAACGATAATAAGGAGTACCTCAACCGTTATCGGAATTACTAGGCAGCTGATCAGACACAACCACACTAGTTTCCGTGGTATTCTCATCATTTTGTTTATCGTATTTCTTTACGGTTGTGCTGGCATAACCGATTTGGGTATGTGCGCTCATCGTTATGTCACCCCGTTCGATGCCAATGCCAAGGTTGAACATCTTCCTTCTTTTATGATCTTTGTTGTACTTTATTCTGTTTGCGGTTTCGGGTTTTGAGGACAGGCATCCCATTTTATTTCTTACCTTTGTTTTTGACAGGTTTGGGTTTGGGTTTAGGTTCTGGCTTGGGTTCCGGACAGCATTCACCCTTCTTCATGTATTTGTAGTTCTTTACGCTGGAACTGTTAAATTCGAC